TCAATGTCGCGCCCACCCACGTACGATGACGCTACTGTATTATTTTTTTTTTCTGCCACGCAAAGCTGCTCATTCCTGATTTGAATAAACTTGAGTTGTTTGCAAAAGACAGGGGCAGAGGGGGTTGGAATTCGAAAGGGCGTTGCTACTTTAAAATTTGGGTTATTGAAAATTGGGAGTAAAATGTTTTCTGACCTTAGCGTACTTGTATCTGTAATATATTGTATTCCTCATTGCTTCCAACATTTATTCATCCAACATCCTCATACTACTAATGGTGAAACCATAAGTGCCAGAAAATAATGGCCTATGCGAGGGCAAAAGCTCACCTCTTTTCCAACCCTCAACGACCCTTAGCAAAAGTCCGAATAAAAAAAAGACTCCGAGTACGTGAAGTAAAAAAAAAACCATGTTCAGTTGGAACGACTTTCTTCTGCGATGCATCTCTTCCGCGGAGAGTCGTGCAACGAGAAAAGGGAAAGAATTGCACTGTGCGCTCGTATGCACGGCAAGTGAATAATTTGGCATTCTCTGCTGGTATACGCGTATAGGGTGCAAGTACCGAGGGATGCTTGCTGCAGTTTCATTACCCTCTCTTTCTATTTTGCCAGATTTATTTGTTTTTCCCTCTCTACCCTTTTTTTCTCGTTTTGCGGTCTATTTCAATTTTCATCGTTGTTTTTTCTTCTTCGATAACTGTGCTCTTTCATCCCCTACGGATCACTGTGAAGCGGTGCTTGATTATACTTGTGCCTCTTTTTTTCCTCTTTTCAACCAAACACTTAAAATGTATAATTTCATAAAATGCATATACAACGGTAACATATAAAAAAAAAAAAATCAAATCGACGTTCCCTAAAGTATGTCACCTATTCTATTGAATCAAAAAACTTTTTTTCTTTACCTATCGACATGAGAAGACTGCGCAAGAGCCAAATATTATATCTCAGATTTAACACCTTTTTATGCATGTTAAATCTGTGACAGCCAATTTTGTTCACCTCACAGCCTTTCTGCAGAATGTATCTATGGATATATCCATGGATTAACTTTTCTTATTAAAAATTGTCCAGTTTAGTAGAATTGGTGTAAATATTTGGTACTGTAATGCATTTAAAAAGAAAGTAGGTATACTTAAACATGTTTAACACAGTTGAATTAACAGTGTTTTCATTGGCGTTTTCGAGTTAGATTCCTTATAGTTTTTACGAATAACTCAAATTTCTTATTTTTTTTTTTTTGTTTCGAGTGCATTGGAATGGCAAGTATCCATAACCCCCCCTCCCTCCCTCCCTCCGCCGTCCAAACAGCCGCAGAGCCTCGACGATTTAAGAAATGCATGCGAGTCATCTTCCGGGGATGAAGCTCCAACCACCCACGTATACATGATTTTCGGCTAAAAAAAAAAAAAATAAAAAAAAGGGAGGGTGCAAAGGTGTACGACGTCGTTGTCTCGTGAAATGGCTAATTGGGTGTGGGATGAGGAGTTCCACGAGAGCAGATGCTCAATTATTCACGCGGGCCGTGCACTCCCTTTCGCGCGGTTTATCAGTTCAGCTCACTGGAGAACGGGATTTTTTTTTTCTCTTTTTTCGACTCTAAAGAGAGGGTTTGGCCAATTACCTGATGCAAGTGAACACGTCGATTTTGTCACTCGAATTTGCACGTACCAAGTGCAACCCCTTCCTTCCTCCTTACTCGTTCTCGGTTAACTCCAATTGAGTTGCGCTGCCGCGTGGGGTTTTCGTGGTTCCTTCTTTTCTTTTCCCCCCTGCATGGGTTTGTCTGTCTTTTCGTTGCAAACGAGGGTGGATGGGTGCCACGTACTACTTGCGTTCACTGTTTTTCTATCGAGAGTATGGCTCATTGAAGTGGCACCGCACAAATTGGCCGTGGAACGAAAGTGAGGGTAAGGACAATTTGTCTGACGGAAGGTAAAAATTTTCAGATAAATCCTCGTGTATTTCTGACAAAAGAATTGGACAAAAATATTGTACAGCCCCTCGGGTGACTTCGACAACTATAGTAGTTAGGATCGATGTGTAAAACGTATCTAAAACAAGAATTTTTCAAAGTAAATAAATCATGTCGATTGTTTTTATCAAAAAAGTTATGAGCAACAATAAATTAAGGAGAGGAACATTTTTTTCCAATATAATGAAGGTACGTGTCCCTATTGTGCCCCCTTCCTCCAACCCCCTTAAAGAAATAATTATTTCTCCAATCACTTATTGTGTCCAAATTCATAGTGACCATATTATAACAGCAGCATTAAAATGAGATTTCATTAATGAAATGATAATTGGGAGGGTCCATAATGGACCATAACGAAAAACTTCGATACGACTGCAGGTCGTTCTGAGCTAACGGGTCCCAATTTGCGAGTGATACAACAGTTTTCAGCCCCCAGAGGCACTAAACACCGAGTTAGGCAGGAATATCGATCGTCAAAGACCGATTGGCTATAACCTCATCAAACCCAATACCCCCATTACCTCGACGCTTAGGGATTGCGTACCTACAAGCGCGTCCGGTCATCGTATCACGTAGTGGCAGCTCGTCGATTCGTCGGATACAATGTATGGTTACGTATTTAATATGGGATGTAGTGAAGAAAAAAAGAAAAAAAAAAAAAAAGAAAAAAAAGAAAGAAAAAAGAGAGAGGGTCCTGAAACGAAATTCGGCTCCAACCGACTATTCCTCGCTAGATTGTCGCGCATCACGTGCCAGCTGCTCCTTGGCAACAGCTGCTTTCGAGAGAAGAGGTGGGAGGTTAGGAAAAGGGGGGGCATCCCCATCCCTGCATATATGCGAATACACACGTAGTTTTATGTATATACGAAAAAAGGGACTTGAGCACTGGCACAGCGGCGAACTTGAAAAAAAAAAAAAAAAAACTTCGACTTTTGCCCTTTTGTGTCATTTTGATATACGTGTTGCATCAAAAGTAAGCCAGTCCTTAAACATCAGCAACAACGTGTGCTACTCCCTTGCACATTTAGTACATTTGTGTGCCTAGTTTCATTGCATCCACTTGAGATTCACCTTTTTTTTCGGCCACTTTTGAGTTGAAGGTAGCTTTCGATGGAGTTTGACTTTGCTTCGTTTCGAGAGGCTCATATACAGTATCTTAGGGCATCGATGCTTTTTGGTCATATGAGCGTGGACCAGTGACTGGACGAAAAAAAAAAAAAAAAAAACGTTTGGTATACAGTCGAGGGGTTTGCTGATGTTTTGTCGCACCCTCCGTGGATGTAAGGCATTGAAAAACTACTAGAAGTACCACCAAAATCGGTCATTTCATCGTAGTGTACGGCACTTTAGAAAAAAGTCACAAAATACACGAATGTCCTTTGAATATATTTTAAATATAATTGTTATTTCACTGTTTCCAGTTAAGAGAGGTGGATGTAAATGATTGTGATACACATTTGACTAGAGATGAGAATAACTATTCAACCCTTTGATTAGACACGAAAATTTGTTTAAAAAAAACGCGAAAACCACTTGAAAACTAAAGGGGAAATAGAAAACAGGCCCAAAACTGATTTCGAGACACAAGTCGCGTAATAATACAATACGAAAAAGGAGTCAAATTTCAGATAGCCAATAACCCATGGTCACGCGTACAAGAGAGACGCCACGTCTTGGGAGGGTGTACCACGATAAAGTGCTGTTGAAGCTCGATTTTTTTTTTTCCAAGGGACCAAGGTTATTGCAAAAAGTTATTGCAAAGTGGTTACAACAAATACGAGCCAAGTATATTCTGAAAACAAACAAAATCTCCACGTGATCCAAATGATACAAGCGCCAATAACAACTCTCTGTTTTGCTCGACAAGTGGATCACTTGTAACGACGAATTGTCGAGCAACAAGAACCTTGGATCATCTTCTCTTTGAACGTTGAAGGTCACGGAGCAGAAAGAAAGAAAAGAAACAAGCAAAAAAAAAAAAAAAACAAAGAGAAAAACGAGGGGTAAATTTATGCGCGAGGCTGTCGAATTGAGAAATCATGTGCTCCTATATGCAGGTCTGCGTTGCAGTACTTGTTGCGACGAATGGGGTTCACAAAAGAAAGAACACGCAGTTATACTCCCTCCCTCTCTCTTAATATATGTATTCCAATGGGAATTGATGCTTTTACAGTTGAATGTAGGTACATGAAAATTCTTGCGTGTGATGTTACGTATGTGCGTGATGGTACCCACCCTACATTATCACCATCTTTCGAGTGCAATATACATGCGTAATTGAGCCAATGTTGGTATTATGTGACGCATCCCATGGACTACCTACACAACTCTGCTGCTCGTTTCTTTTCACACTCCTATTTTTTCATTTTTATCTTGTCACCGTATCCATCCGCACTGCACAGGCTGGCTCCTCTTTTTTTTTCCAACCAAGTTATTCTGCTTTGTGTGTTTCAACAATAAAGGATCCCATACACTTTTAATGTTGTTTACTGAAAACACCCTTGGCAGTAATTGGACTTTTCGCGAGTAACCACCCCTTTTGCGTAAGAATTGAGATAAAACTTTTTTTCTTCTTTGGTACACCTTCGAGAACTAATATACTTTTCAGTCTTTGAAATAACGATCGTAGACCGTATATGTGACTTTGCAACGAAAAAAATGCTCCTTGCAAGTCTACTTCGACACTAACGGACACAAGTGCAATTTTACCGGCATACAAATACATACGCATGTAAGCGGCGCCCCAACGTCGGCACTCGCGTACAATACGCACAAATATACATATATGTATGGCCAATGTACGCATGAGGAGACGCACGCGCGCGATGTACCGGTGGGCCGACCATCGCCGCGCCTCCACCTCTTTATCTGTATACGTACGAGTATATATAGTTCGCGCACACTTACACTCGTGCAATTTAGCACCCGAGAAAGAGAGAGAAAGAGAGTCCGATACGCTGGTGTTGCAATTTTGCATTCCCGGTCCGTACTCAGTACGCGACGCGACGCTCAGGCGGTCGGACGCGTGCTTGCACATAAAAAAAAAAAAAAAAAATTTATACATATTTTCTCTCCCTTCTTCGCGTATTTTTCTGTCGCTTTCTCAGTGATGTGCCAAGTAAGCGCAACTCGCGAGTGCTGTGTCCCCGTTGGTTTTTTTTTCCATTTTCCTTTCGCGTGTATAGTTTTGTGATTGATTTTTCTCTTTCTCTTTCCCCCCCGCCCCTTGTACTTCCCGTTTGGTGAGTTTTACAAGACACACTCCACACAAGCTCAGTATCACATTTTTATACATACATATAACATACACTTGCTTAGCAAAAACAAGCAGAGTACATGGAGAACACGCGCGCTCCACTCGTAATGTGCTGCTGCGATGGATCGTTATAAATCTCTTTTTTTTTTTTTTTTTTTTTTTTTTGGCCCATGATGTGTCGACACAATATAAGCTGCGTTATCAAGCAAATGTGAACAAACTCGCGGGTCGTCTCGAAGCTCCGAAGCGCTTATCTGCAAGGAACCCCCCACTCGTCCAAACAGTCTCGGTTAAAAAAGAAGGAAGAAAAAAAAGTATATGCATGGCAGACTAGTACGGTGCCGTGCAATTGTCGCGCTCTCGATGATTATATACTTGATCGGGCGCGCGAGCCGTAAACACTTTTCACCCGTTCGTAAGTACGTGCACACCATATGTACAGGATGGTCGCAGTGACGCATCGCCGATCGGGCGCGTTTTCTCGAAGGTATGCCCTTGAAAAAGATTAACGAAGGAAAAAAAAAAAGAAAAAAAGAAAAAAAAAGAAAAGTGTAAACAAACGCAACTCATGCCCCGGCGTGACTCGTCACTTTCGACCCGTACATCACGTAAAACTTGACGCACGCCTATACATATGTACACCCATATACACACCCATATATGTATACGTGCGCTTATCGGTATGTATGTAAGTTTCATTTTCTCTCCCCGACAGTGCAAGAATAATAAAAATATGTACGTAATCGTAATCGAGTAAGTGCGAGGAGTGTGTGTCGTCCATATGAGTGGTGGTGGTGCGCGCGTGCGTCACGACAACAACAAGTGCAAGCTGACGAAATCGGTGCAGCGACCTCATACCCCCGGCAAAAGGAGCCATGAAGATCGGCGCGCTAACGATTTTTTGGAGCCATTGCCGATCAGTCTGTTTGCCGTTGGGCAGCCTCGGCTTTGCTTGCGCCTAGCTCTCGGCAGCTCTGGGATGTTTTCGCTGCAGCGGCGCTGGGACGAGGGCCCCGTGGCCGGCACTGCCACGGTGCATCGACAGCGCACCGCATCTGCGGCACCGCCGAACGTTTTGCCCCCGTGAGTACAGATCGTTATGACGATGGGTCATGGATTTTCATTGCCGATTTTGCGCTCAGCACTACATATTTCTCCATCGATTCGTCGAATCTACAGTATGGCTGTGCGACAAAGAGACACGCGTACCTCGCTATACCACACTACCGATCGACCTCGCGCTCTCCAAGATCGGCAGAGCCGAGAGTTTCATTTATTTATTTTTTCCTCTCTACTGTACGAGTAAATATGATTCCTTGGAAGTAAAGAGAGTAATATGTGCTAGTGCGATGTTAGTTGACACAACTGAGTCTACTTTTTCCCCTCGGGCTCTTATTGCTCGTACTATTAATACACCCCCACCGGAGCACCAAGTACCCTGCACTTTTCAACTCGGAAACGCATAGAAAAAAAAAAAAAAAAAAAAAAGGGACGCGTAGCCAAAGGAGGAAAATGACAAAGCAACGTCGATGCCCGCGTTGTATTGTGTAAGTATGTGAACAAGCACGTATTTATACAGCCTTGTGAACATGTGCGAGCTGTACAGCAGCGGATCTGGGTCGTACCTAATCTTGAGCGAGCGAGTGGGGGCGAGAGGCCATCGTCGTCGGTGTTGCGTGTTATTTACTCCGAGTGCGTATAATCTCGGAGGGAAGAAAATCGCTGAAAGAAAAATTGAACACTCGTTTCTGTATAATACGCATTATATCGATAAACTGAAAAATAACCCGTGCACTTTTTTGGGCCCACCTCACATTCCAACCGAGAAAAACACAATTCATCGATCGTTATGAATTCATGGTTAAATAGATTATACAACATGCTCATTTTTTCAAAGTAGGTACTCTTGTTGAGCAATATTATACTATTTTTTTATCGTTTGCACGTAGGTATGCGATAAAGTTTTTTTTGTGGCTTGAATAATAAATATTTTAATAAAAATTGGCACAATTCGTCACGAAAAATCTAATATTTATGCCACTCTACTTTTAAAGATGATCTATTACTGTGACCGAAAATCGATTGTTCAGAGGAAAACAAAAAAAAAGTAATATTGAATTTCACAGCTCTATCTGGCTATGTTGATTTTATTTATCATGTAGTGTATCGGTGAAAATCGAATTAAGCCGACTTCAAAGTCCCTATCCACGTGGTTGGTAAAAAAAGTTATCAATATCCAATGTCTCTTTGACCCTGGTCCAAAGATCTACATGGTAGTACAGTATATTCCCAAAGGCGATTCAAAAAACTATATACTATGCAGATTTACGCGTCCAGCTTCGCGCATACCTTAGCCAGTCTCTTTGACCTCACGCACAAGTGGCAAGAAAAAAAATGTTTTACGATTCGGGAGATGTGCACGTGCGCTTGCAAGCGTTTTTTTTGCTCTCGTTTGTTTTCCTCATACCCAAAGACTGGCCAAAGAGTAGCGTACTACTTCTGTAAAGATAGTATACTGAATTTATGGAGTTTTTGAAAGATTTTGAATGACTTTTGAAGTCCTTTTTTAATAACTCCCAAGCTATCGGCACTCTCGAAGACTTGATAAAACGTCTGAAGTCTTGGAAAGACTTTGAATGACCTTTGAAGTCTTTTTCATGACTTCAAGAGTGCACAGCCCCTTGGTATCAGTGCAATTATCGGAGTTGAGGTTTAAACAAAGTTTCGAAGCAGTGCTGTCAAAAATCTGCTTTTTATAGGTGGATAGTGTGCAATGTACATCCGTTACAATGTGTTACATCTGTATATTTGTCATCTCATCGGGAAACATGAGAGGGATACCGATTTTTTGTCGGTTTATGGAATTTCTATACTTGAAAAGTCTTATCTTGTGAAAAAAATATTTTCCCAATATTCCATTTTAAATAGAGTTAAATAAATATTGTCTCAAGAATAAATATCCTTGTAAAACAATGAAGATAAACGTCTGAATCTGTCATTCAATCCTTTCTACACCATCTTTTTCTCTATTCCTACTTTCTCGTCATTGCTGTACTGTACACACGTACAAACGCGTTCACGCAGATGTAAACGACACGGACACGGATGACGAATTTCTTTCCGAATGTTTATATATGAGCAGTGCTTGACGTTTGCCTTTTTATTTTCTCGCTCCGTTGCATACCTACCCTTAGTTTGCTCGAGACATTGGCATATGTATACACCAATCGCTATCCAAACAAGATAAAAACATGCACACTTTTGCGATTTTAAAGATCAAGCGTGAAATTACCCACGAAGCTTAAACTTTGGACCATCAGTGAGAGAGAAAAAAACCTCCTCTCCATCAGCAAGTATAGCTTCCGCTGACGTCAGTCCAGGCGTATTATACATACGGTAGTGATTCATGCTCGCGTGGAATTTTTTATTCCTCGTAATATGTGTCGCAGCCGCGCTCTCCCGAGTGCCTCCACCGCGTGTGCTATAAATGGCTTCGCGTTTGTTTGTCCCTCTCTCTTTGTGTGTGTGACTTTTCATACGTATTGTGCACACCACGCGCTCGTTCTTTTTCAACGACAAGAGTACTAAGCGCGTTGCTCTTTCGCCGATAATGTAGCATCAAAAAGCTTCTATTTTTTTTTTTTTTTTTTTTTTTTTTTTTTTTTTTTTTTTATTGCTCATTTGTGTACATTACTAATTATTATTATTTTTTACTTTTTTTTTTTTTAATGTGGGTATACAATGGGTGTGGGTGTGCTTTTCTCGAACAGTTACTCTTAAAGTTCTTTTTTTTTTTCTTATTCGATTATTGTAGTGTATTTATCGATCACGCCTCGTGGGAGCATCCATGGACCTGCCATCGGGTCGTGAAATTCATTACTAGTAGAAGGAAAGAATTCACATCAAAATAAATTCGGTGGGTGAGCGCTGAACAGTCGGTCACAGTCGGTACACCAGCTGCGGCACAAAACGTTATTCCCAACGCAGTGAGTCATTTTCAATAAACGCCCACGACGACGGGCGCGTAAGAGTAATGTTAAACCTCCGACGGGGCCTTTCTTCTCGGGGGAAGTAATGCAAGCTTTTCTCCACGCATGGCAAATAAAAAAATTTAAAAAAAGAAAAAATCATGTATTTTCGATGAACCGCAGGTGGTGTTGAACAATTGTTCTTCGTGTGCATTTTCAAAAGAAACCTTTCGACAATAATGTCACTCGCAACGGCAGAGCATATACATATATAATTACAGACCTGCACTGGTGCAGGATGCGGCTGTATACACGCGTGGCCAACAGCTTGTGATTCTAATATTAAGCCTCTGCAAAACGCCGCCAAACGCCAGGGAGATCAAAGGCCGCTGTTGGGACGTGTGTACGAGAGTCTGTGGGCATGAAAATAAGAACAGCGCAAACTTGGCCGCTCACCGATGGCCTTTTTTTTTCTCCCCTACACGATACACAACGCGAGTCGTGGGTGTATTATTTTTGAACTCCCGAGCCACGTAAGAGGAAAGCTTGAGAAGTTTTTCGCGAGGGAGTCGCGTTTGAGTGTACACATGGGGGTAAGAATTTTCTTATTGACTCGGGTGGGCGAAGGAAAAAAACAATAGCCGAAAATAGAAGCATCTTGGGCCGGCGACGGTCAACGACTCGGTTCTCGTTTTTTCTTCTTTTTTTTTGGGTGCTTTGCGCTGACACAATTGGCTAACTGTGTATTATGTACACGTGTTGTGCGTGTGTACGCGCTAGAACAATCACTTTTGTTACCAAAATTATATCCCTGATAACTCTGCTGATTTCATACCTTTTTTTTCCATACAACTTTCACATCGATTTTAGTTAAATGGAGAAGTTTGTGGTGAGAAAAACAAATTCCTGTACTGTAGTGAATGATTTTTTTACGATCGATTAATTTTTGATAAAATCCTTCACTTGGGAGGTGGTTCAAAGTACTTCCTCACAGCTCCGACCGTAGTTGGCTACGTGTTAATTTGTATTCAACATTTTTATCATTCGCTTCCGTACCCTACTTCTTTCGACTTTTGATAAAAATAATCATATTACGACGACGTGAATTACGTCAATGCATTCATATTTCACAACAACTCAGCACCTTTTTTTTTTTTTTTTTTTTTTGTAAAAAATAAAATATTCAACATTCGAGGAAATCGAGTGAAATTTTCCTTCCCGAGTCCCGCTTTGATGATTAAACAGCCTGTCTTTCCTTCATCTCACTCCCTCTTGGTGTTCTCTCTTTCATCCCCACCAGTACTTCTTTTTTACTGCACACGGCGTCAGAGTCTCGCGTCACGCATAAAATATCGACTATAGACCGGAAATGGAATACCTGACGACCGTACAACTATAATGTATCATATGTATACGCATATAAACAATTGATTTTTCATCAACAACTACGGTGACAACGTGAGTCACGCGTGTATGGATGGGTGTTGTTTCATTTGTGATCAGAGTATTCCTACGTACGTGGTTTTTTCTTTTTTTTTTTTTTTTTTTTTTAACGCCTATGTATATCATACAGGCGAGGAACATTACGTGACAATCGGCCAAGATGCCATAGCTTCAATTTCAACAACCTTCGTGTATTACACAGTAGAATCACACGCAGATGTGGAACTACATGGAAAAGTCACTTGTTTCTTTTTGTTGTCCCTCATCCCCTTCGCGGATATAAAAGACCACATACCTATACAATTATGCGTTTTTACGGAAACAGATGATAATGAAAAATAAGTAAACGCCGAGTCGAGATAATACGCATGTGTACAAATAGTATGTATTATATATGTACATGTATACACGCAAGGGGAGCTCGTGTAAGCACCTGTTTCTTCAACTCACAGAAGGCACATACATGGGTGGTAGTTGCCATATATATACATCTATCTTGGCATCGTCGGCGGAAATACGTGGATTCCCGCCACTTTCCCTTTTCCCCCATCGATTTTTAGCCCATACCTACCTGCGCGCGTGCAATGCCAAATGAATTCTGACTTTATATATGAGGTTTGACGATGGACACGCGAATCCTCGTCTGTGATGTATAGGTAAACACGCGAGCCAACGTATCGCAAACATTCCACGGGGCACATTTTCACTTTTTTACCACAGGGTGTATAGATAACGCAGTGGGTGTAGCCAGTGTTGATGCGGATCCAAGGTCACCACACATATACAGGGGAGTGAATCTAAATTCCCAGTACTTATTTACATTGACGTGGTGGTGCGATACTTGGCTAAATACGCATAGAGCCGAGAGCTCCCATGCGCGCAAAAAGCGTAGTCGACGATGGAAAATACAACAATACGCGGAGGGATGATTATTTTATTTTTATTTTTCGTTTCAACGAAACCTTCCTCGGGACGGTGTACGCCGGTTACGGAAGCATCCGGACGCCTATGTATATATATACACGTGTGCATCGAGCGAGCCAAGGTATAGTGGGGGTGCCCGAAAAAAAGCAGCCCCCCCCAAAACACAAAGGCCCTCTCACCCCCTCTGCCTTTCTCTCCTTATGGTACTTCGCCCTGCAGTGCACCCGCCTGCGTGCGCTTGTGTGTGTGTGTGTGTATCGCGACTTTCGGGCCATTAGCCACTTTGTACGTATAAGCGTGTGTGCGTGTACGTTTGTAGTTTCTATATTATATACGTGGCACCGAGGAAACCTCGATGTGCTACGCGGTGCGCGTCGTTTTGCACCGCTTGTTCCGTAAAATCATCGGGGGCTAGCGGTTTCGGGACTCGACCCTCTAACTTTTTCCTTTTTCTTTTTTTTTTTTTTTCGGCATGGGGTGCGCCCCGAGACTGGCCTTTTTTTTGTTTTATTTTCAAAATCCCATCAGCGAAGCGAAAGAGCTTGCTCTGATGACTGAATTGGAAAAATTTAATGACTCCAACGGGGAATTGCTGCGAGTATTTTTTTTTTTTTTTCATGTTTGTTTTGCATAATTCATCGAGGGTTGCATTATCTTGAGTTTTGTAATCCAGGATCGGGAGGTGATGGGAGGTGTATAAAGTCAATTAGTACGAGGGTGCGTTCAAGCTATTGATGATAGGTAGCGCCAACGTGGGGGTGAAATTTTGATGTACCTATTTAATCTTTTGGGGAATAACCAATAAATATGTATATGGTCCCAACAAAGATATTCCACACGACTGTAAGGAATAGATTTAAGATGTCTCAGGGATGTGTTTTGAAAATTTTTCATCTCTATTACCCAACAAATAAAGTAGCATGATAAATTTACCATTTGATCGATTGGCCCGTGTATTTGGGGGCAAGAGAGTTAAATTAGACTAGACAAAATGACGTAAAGTCACTCGACAACAATTACAGACGACGGTAGGTCCACTGTTGCGTTAAGATCAAGAGTCAAGTTTTTAATGAGTTTTTACTCGTATAATGTGAGAGTGGATCGGAAAGGGGACGGTTGGAGAGAATAACATTCATTTCGTACTAAAAATCAAGCTGTTTGGAAAAAAATCAAGGAATTCTTGAAAAATCGTGAGTTCTAATTCCTCATTAGCATATAACACGTTATATTTATGGCATCTGAACTTACTTTGATGAAAAAAATTTTACGTATACGTGTATATATATTTTAAATGTAGATGCACCCAGTTTTTTTACATTTCATGTCAATGGTAAAATTTGGCCTTTTCCATGGATTAAAATAAATTTAAAAACAAAAAATCATACATACTTGTTAACTTTTTTTATAATTAATATTTTTTCTTATCAACATTTAAGAAACAAATACTTATCATTCTTCTTGTTATCTCATACTCAAAGTATTTTCTGTATTAGTTATTTGTACTTAATTTCAATAAAAGTGAGATCGGTTCGACCGAGTTATAAAAAAAGTTTCTTTTGAAGACTACGGGGCTAGGAGTAATCAATCCTTGTCTCAACATCAAAGGTAACCAAGTGCCACTCAATGATTTTTATTTTGTTAATTAAACTCTCGAATTAGTCTTCACGAGAAAATCTTAAAATCATAAAAGTTTCAAAACTAAATTTATGCTTTTTAGACGAGTGATCAGAAAAACAATAATTAGGGCACGAAAATATTGAGCTTTCTTCATCTCTAACACATTGACGATGTACATAGGGTTAGAGTAAGAATCAAAGCGTAAGATCAGTAGGTACCATTTTAATTAATTCTTTTTATCAGTTCTTTCGTTGTCCTCTTGAAGGAAGATTGGTTGGGGGGTTGGTTATGCTGTTGTTCCGAATAAAAGGCAATGAAGACTCCCTTGACAACAAAAGTTATGAGCATGAGAACATTTTCTCATGTTGGGCCCCAACGAGACATGGATGCTGGCGCAATCAAAGTGTCCATAGCGTACGAGATGAACTGCCGGACCGTTAGGCAATGCGCAATGTAATGTAAGCGTATAGCCAACACTTCATGCCTTTGACATATTTTCGTCGGCTAAAACTCACCCTCGGCACTTACAGCCATGATATCCTCCAATTGGCGTTTGTACAATTACATAATGAAAATGAAAAAAATCCACTTTTTGGTAGAAAAAATTAATGACAAGCACCGTAATCTTGGAAATTCAATTTATTTTTCAGTTTCCCATCCAATAAGTATGAATGCACTATTTTTTTTCCGAATCAAAAAGTTCAGCAGTGGACTAAATGAAAAACCAATTTTCTTTCAACCCTCCCTTTCAGCCCCTGTAGACAACATCGGAGAGTGGTTGGATGAAAAACAAACACATATGCAATCCAGCGAGATGACGCTTCATCAACAAAGGCATAAAGACCCGCGTCTCCAGTAGGGTGTGTAAAAATAACGGATGACCTTGACAGTGAATCTCAAGGTCACGTCATCGTTTGGCTCCCTTGACGCGATCGGGATCAGATTATTTTTAGTTCTCTTCGGTACGGAATTATTAGTGACGACAGACGTTTGTTTATTGTTCGTAGCCTTGGAAAGTACTCCCTAGAATCTACCCCCAAAAAATTGTCAAGGGCCATTTCATCATCATCGAACCGTACGATTAACTATGTACACCCCAATAATAACATACGCAGACATCCCTTTAATTTTCGCAAATATACGTACACAGACACGCAACAACCCTCGTACAGGCACCCTTACGTGGAGGGTGTGTTGCATGTACCAGTATTTCTTTCTCTCTCTCACTCAAAAAAAAAAAAAAAAAAACCTTTTAAGTTTAGATGTGTATTTACACATGCGACATAGGTACTTCTTTTTCTCTGGAAACATTATGTAACTTTTCGTGTCGTGTTGGAAAAAAAAAAAAAAAAAAAAAATTTCCGCGACGCAAATTTGCTGAATAGATTTGCCGGTGCGCAGAACACGGCGCGTAAACATAAGAAGAAAAATCGATAGGAACGAAAGCAAGAGTGGAGAGAGGGCTATAGACACAGACTCTCTGCCAGCCCCCCCGATCCTCCCCCTCCCTCGTGGCCTTCGTTTCGTTTTTTTTTCCCCCGCTCTCTGCGTGCGCGCATTCTTCCCTCCTACCCCTCCTCTACCCCCTTTTTTTTCTACTACGCTCGTGCTATATATACATACTCTTATATACGCGGCTGGCACCCGCACACGCTTGTATATGTGATATAAAAGACTGGATGTGCGTGCGCTTTGTCGGAGCCCAGGGCTTTTTTTTTCTCCATCTCGTTCATTCAGTGGCGGGGCTCCGGCTCGCCTTCCTATATAATACGTACATACTTCACGTGTTTGTGGGATTTCAAGGTAATACCCCAGAGAACTGCTTTGGATCTTTTTTCCCTTACTTCCGATCAGGCTTGCCTATTAGTGGGTATTTCTGCACTTTTTACTTTTCGATCGGGTATGTTTGAACTTCCTGCCTCGAATTTAATTTTTTTTTTTTTTCCACAAATACTTATAGTGTAAACATCAAGTGGATGAAAAATTTTCATGATTACAATGCTTGAGTGATGATTTTACTAAATGTATCAAATTTGTGTCTGCAGAAACGTACATGGTATCAAAAATATGATGCTTAATTTTTTTTTTTTTTAGTAATTTTGTAGTCTTTAAAAACTTACGTGCTAAGTTTTACATGTGCAACCCTCGTGTTAATTGTGGGAGTTTATTTTTTTTAAGACAATCCATAATTTAAGTGCGATCATGTAAAGGAATAGAAAGTATTTTTTTAAACTTTTTTTTATAAAATAATATATGTTAGATAGTACATTGCATTAAGGATATTAATCTTACGAGTAACTTCACTTCTTTCTAACTTTCATAAAACAAAATATGGTAGTTTTTTTTAGAGTACAAACGTATTTTCTTTTCACTTTTCCCTGGACGGTCTTTGCACACTTGACAGTATAGCCTCTTCCTATTTACATGATGCTTTCGTTTATTGTTTGTCTCGATTGTTTTTAAGTTTTTCGTTAGAACAATAATTTACATTTATTCAATTAGAATAATTATAATTTACTTGAACATCTATGGAGGAAAGGACCTATACTTACATATTCGAGGCAACACTAACATAACAACTGTAGTTTAGTTCAGGGCATTTGATACACCCTTGATATGTATCACTTAAACGACTTAGATTTTAAAGAGTTAAGATCAGAAGAATGAATGAATTTTTGTAAACCAATGAAAATGGTAACATTAATTAAGTTTATTTTTTTTAATGATTACAGTAATTCTGCGGGAACGAAGGTTTTCTTGAGCAATGTCCCGCCCCACGTCAAAGGCGAGGATATCCACAACATGTGTTTGAACTATGGAAACATCGTCAACATTGAAAAGGCGAATTCTCGTGATCCTTCATCGGGACAGGCCTTCATTGTTACGACAGATTCTCCGGATAGTGCACAGAGGTGAGTCTTACTTCTTTCTTTCGCGTCTCAAACGACCATCATCAATCAAAGACGTATACCTGAATAGTTGGATGTACCGTCACCGAATCTCAATTTTAAAACTGCAAAATTGTAATTTTTAAATTATTTTATCAAAAGTTAATTAATATCACGGCTACAATCGCCACTTTTATTTAAAGGTTAAAAGGAATTTTAACCAGTTACGTTTCGGGATTTCCGAATGGAGATTCGGTGACTGTACGAAAAAAAGATGAGCAAAAGCAATAAATCGGGGAATCCCGAATCTTGGATTTGGGTAAAGGGAAAAAGCCCCTGTAATTGCAAATAACTCAATGTAAAGCATAAAATGAAACAAATGGTCGTAACCTTGATTTTGCAGCATCGTCCAGAATCTGAACATGATAGAATACGAGGGCGCGTACCTAAAGGCGGACTTCCTCGCCGGGGACGGTCGCAGACGGCGCGGCCAACGCACCGGTATGGCAGCCCTGACGAGCATAGCCGGGTCGAACCGGCAGACCGATTTCCCGCTGAGGATTCTCGTGCAGTCGGACATGGTCGGGGCGATAATCGGCCGGCAAGGCTCGACGATCCGGCACATAACCCAGCAGACGCGGGCGCGCGTCGACGTGCACCGGAAGGACAACCTCGGCTCGCTCGAGAAGGCGATCACGATCTACGGGAACCCGGAGAACTGCACCAACGCGTGCCGGAAGATACTGGAGGTCATGCACGCCGAGGCGAGCAGCACAAACAAGGGGTCAGTTGTTGGCGGTGACGAGAACGGCACCACTGGTGCCGACGCTACTGCTCAACAGCAGCAACACCAGCACGCGAGAGACGAAGAAGCCGGTAATACTAATGACAGGGTTGGCTCCTCTTGCAGCGAGATCACCTTGAAGATCCTCGCGCACAACAACCTCATCGGTCGCATTATCGGCAAGGGTGGCCAGACCATCAAGCGAATCATGTCTGACACTGACACTAAGATCACCGTCAGCAGTATCAATGACATAAGCAGCTTCAACCTCGAGCGCATCATCACGGTCAAGGGTACCATTGAGAACATGAGCAGGGCCGAGGCTCAGATCTCGCAAAAGCTTCGCCAGAGCTACGAGAACGACCTCCAAGCAATGGCTGTGAGTTTACCTCTTAAGTACTCTTACTTCTTCATGTCTTACACGATAATGCATATATATATACACATACACATACATGTGTCTTATATTGGTATCATTGTTCAAGTAGTAATACCATTAAGGTGGCTCAGTACTGATGATGTCAACGATGCGACTTATACAGGAACTCAAAATAGATTTTTTAACGAATTTTTCGCAAGACTTTGACTTTTTTAATCTACTATGTAGTAGTAGTACAATTTGTGCTTCTAGAAATTTCATGGCATATATATATTCCGCAATCTTTTGATTCAGTACTGAACTGCTTTACCAACCTGAATACGTTGACCTCGATATGCGATTTACTTTACCAGCGTTTCAAAGTAATAATCCACAAATTTTGAGCAGAGCACTATGCTAACGTTGCTCTACATTAAAAAATTACTTAAGTAATATGCATGAGGAGTAGATCTCAGATGGAAGGTCGATATTACATCCATTCCCCCTAACATATTAATATTTCTCATTTTATTATTTTTTTTCAACTCATTTTGTAATGTATAACACGTAAAATCATTTGGTCCATCGTCAATTGAATACTTGTAATTGTATGGTGGATCGATAGATTCTACGACAACGATATATTTTGTGCAATTTAATTTTGACCATTCTCAAGTCCTGTCCTTAGGTATATGGATAACATGTTTTGTGAGTCTTACATTATGTTTTTTTATTTTCTTTTTTATCATTTCATACACCACTCCACCGTCCGGTTTTAATTTTATTGATAAGTTCAAGGTTTTTTTTTTGTTTACTAATTACTTTATCAAAAAACCTACGATGGTTTGAGCATCTGTCCAATGAAGGCTTTTGCTTGTATCTAGTAGGAAGAGAAAAAATAAAAGAGTTACTTGTGCCGATAGCTTACCTCACTGCGAGCATCAGCCGCATCTAACTCTTTGACATTTCGTTATTTGTTTCAATAATTGGTACATTTTCCGAGAAAATTTTTTTTTTGTTTTACACAACTCATTTGTCCACTTGACATTGTTTTGAGTTGGCGCATTTTGTTTGATCGTGTATATTGTCTCGCATGAAATTTACATATTTTCATCGTTTACACACTAACAACACAAGGGACAAAAATATGTGGCTTGAATATGGTAAAAAGTAATGCAAAAACTGAAAATCAAGCGACATATTTTGGTCACTCAACGGCTTACTGTGCACCGTTTCATCATTATAGCGATTACAATGTTAAATACTTGGTTGGCGTTCTGAAAAAAAAAAAAAGAAAAAAAGAAAGAAAAAGAATGTACCAAACGACTAATTGGCCATTCGTTGTCCCCTCGTGTGCGCTTACAGCCTCAGAGCCTGATGTTCCCGGGCTTGCACCCAATGGCCATGATGTCGACTGCGAGCATGAATTACGGCAACCGGCAGCAGGCGCTCTTCAACACCAGCCACACGCCCTTTCCGTACACGGGCACCTTGCCCGCCCAGACCGGCCCAGCCAGCGAGACCCAGGAAACTGCCTTCCTCTACATACCCAACAGTAGCGTGGGCGCCATCATCGGCACCAAGGGCTCACACATAAGGAACATCATTCGCTTCTCCGGGGCCATTGTCAAGATCGCGCAGCTCGAGTCCGAGAAACCCGTCGATCCGAATTGCGAGAGGAAGGTCACCATTTCCGGTACAGCTGAGGCTCAATGGAAGGTGTGTATTGGCTTTTATCTCCCGAATGTTGCTGTACCACTTGGATTGTAGGATGGGTTGTTATGAGCTTTACTAAGCACCAAATGGGAAGCTTTTGAGTCATTGACCTTGAACACGTGGTGACCCGTCTTACCGATACTTGGGCATCTTTTTATTGTGGATAAAACCATAAAAATCATAAAAACTGGGTTAAACTACAATGTAAACAAGATATTTTGGGCGGTTTTATCGTCAAAATACGTATATTTCTTACCAAGGGTGCAGTAAACGTCCAAATGTCACGAATAGCGCCTCACCGTAGGAAGAATACATAACCTCTGAACTAGCAATTTAATGGGAAAAAATGATAGTTGATTCCGTAAAAGAAAAAAACAAGTAGGCCAAATAAGTCTTTGGACAAACAAGATTTAGTAGCTTTATTTTTATTCATCCACAATGCACCATCTTATTTTCCCATCCAATCACTAGTTTGAAGGTTATATATTTCGTTGATAAGTCATTCCAAAATGATTTGCTGACAAGTTTGAGCAAAAGAATTAACTTTCATTAACTTGCAAAAACATAGATACTGCCATTTATTTGTTGTATTACTGGCACTTTATTGAAGATAATGAATTTGTGGATGTCGTTTTTACCTACAAATGGTAAAATACTACTCACCTGGTATGATGAAAAAGAGGAAAAAATGAGCTGGTAGCATTTATATACACTCCCTTGTCCCATGGCTAGGTAGCGCAGTTAGTAGAGCATTCAATTCCAAATTATAGCATCAAGGGGTCGAGTCTCGGCGTTGGTACTTTTTTGATGCATAAAAATATATTTCCTCTCAAACAAAGATTCTAAATATACCAGGTGAACGTTAGCGTTAGCTCCATGATTTTTCCCTCCTAGTCACTTAAACCTGTTACATTTGGGCGAATTTCGTATCAAAGACTTTTGCTTGAAAATACAGGAAGAGCAAAATTAACGTGGCATCCGTGCTTGTCTAACCTAATGAAACTGTTACAACAAGTCCTGTTAGTTCACGTACATTTTTTTCCTTTCAAATAAAATTTTCTTCGTTAAAACGGTACTATTTTTTTGAGATCAATTAATTTAGTCACACCCAACTGACCAATTGATAAATTGAAACACAAGAGAACAAAAATTCCAACAATTGTTTACGTTGCATCGACAGGCCCAATACCTAATCTACGAGAAGATGCGTGAGGAGGGTTTTGTGGTTGGAAACGAGGACGTGAGGTTGACCGTGGAAATCCACGTGCCATCGGCCCAAGTCGGCCGGATCATCGGCAAAGGCGGACAAAACGTTCGCGAGCTCCAGCGCGTCACTGGCAGTGTTATCAAGCTGTCCGAACAGCAGTCGAGCCCACCCGCCGAGGGTGACGAGACCACGGTCCACATCATTGGGCCATTCTTCTCTGTTCAGGTAAGCGGTCATTTTTTGTTTCCTCTTAGAATACTTACTACACCAAAAAAAGATTAATATTATGGATGTTTTTCATTGACAAATATTACCATTACGATTGGGGTTGTACGAGCTTTAGCGTGAAAATTTTACCTTTATAATTGTACAATTACCGGTAATTATTATTTTTAAATAATTAATCGCAGTAATGTTTACCTTGAAACCAATATTGACCATTTAATAGTGAAACTCCACGATTCCTACAAGTTATAAGCACACAACTAAAAAATAGATGGATTGATCGTAATATTATTATCAAAGAGTTAAATTTCACTATTTGAAGGGAGTATGTGTACTATTTTAATATTATTTTGTGTACTTGTAACTTTGAAATTCAAAGAGTAGAGCTATGGTATTTTTTACCCGTTAAAAAAAAAGAAACGTTTAACTACTCTGAACATATTAAAATAAATTTTAATGCAGTCTTGACAAATTTGTTTCTTTCTTCAAATTACCCACGAAACTGCTGAATAATTTTATCTTGTAAATTTTGATGATAATTGCACAATACTCTGGTAAAAAATTCGAGAATACCGTTCACCGTCTCTTCAATGGTGCGAAAAGTCATGACGATTTCAATGAAAAACAACCATAAGTTATCAAACTTATCTCGGGCACTCGAATCGCTTAGAAAACTCGCTCAAGCTCGCAAAGCACTGCAGTTTCAACGAGATTCACTAATGTTTGCCCTTTGCCCTCCAACAGTCGGCCCAGCGGCGCATCCGCGCGATGGTCACCCTGCCACCGTCGAGCGTCATCCCCCCGGTAACCGGCGCCCGAAGCCGCAACGTCAGCCAAGAGGGTGGCGTTCGCTCGCGACGCGACGGCAGTGCCACGTCCCTGCCAGGCGGCGCAATGACACCCCAACAGCAGCACCAGCAGCAACAACACCAGCAACAATCGAGCCAATCCTCGCCGTCATCCCAGGCGTCGTCCGGACAGGCTCAGCAACAACAGCAGCCCCAACAGTAGAACACAATCCCCTACCGCGCCGGTGGTAGTCACACAGGGGCTGCTCGGAGTAAAATGCACAACCGCGGCGTGCAACCCTTCCAACTGAATCGCGATCACGATGACCATGATACATATAAATTCACATAAATATGTACATGTGAGAACGTGCGCTTTTACGCGTGTACACGTGGGATGAGATGGCCACGGAGAGCAAGAGCGTGTGGATGTGCACGTGAAAATCCAGCCGAGGAAGAGGAAAAAAAGAAAGAAAAAAAAAAAACGAAGCAGATTCGAGCGTTTTGTGTTAAGATTATAAATATATATATAAATATTTCAAGAGATCAGTATGACGCCCCGTATACACGCTGTATCACAAATTTACATTACCATAGGTGAGGGAAAAAAAAAATTTTTAGCCAGTAAATAACTAATAGTGCGTATCACAGGTGCTTCTTTTGTATAAACTCAACTTAAATTTCTAGCCTAATTCGTTTCTTATCCGAAGGAAAAATTAATCATAATTCCTCATTTTTTAATACTTTGTGTTAGATATTTGTATTTTTTGACACTTAAAACTGTATTTCAGAAATAACTTTCTGGATGGTTCTTTTCCATTTTTAAAATTGAAAAATTTTTTAATTGAATTAAAAGAGTTTATACATTGGAACTTTACAGGAATATTTTATTATAATATTTTACAATATGTACACCGAACCAATGAAGGGCATTCTTATTTGACGCTAAGCGCTTAATAGTCTGTAAGTTAGAACCAGCTCAAACTAACCTCCAAAAAACTACCCTACCCGCAATTACACATAGATATGAAAGGAAATGTTGACGTTATTTTTACGCGAGCAAACTTTTGTATAAACTATACCCACGCACAAAGGAGACTGATCAAAAAAATGGCCAGAGACTAAAGAAACATAAGTACGAGATTTCATTTTCTTTCGCAGAGTTTGGATGAACATAAAACCAGTACTTTCCCTCTGAACGAAAAAGGGGAATCCCCGCTTTCTCTTTTCGGACCCATGATTTGATTATTACATCTTGTACGAAAAAAAAAAAAAAAATATGTAGGTAACTAGCATCGATGAGAGAAAAAAAACAACCACGCGTACGCGTGGCACACTATTCCGACCAATAAACAAAAAAAAAACAAAAAAAAAACTAACGTGCTCGTTCGTTCGTCGTGTTCGACGATCTCTTTTTCCTCGAAAAAAAAAAATAAAAGTAAAATCTCTACGAAGGAAAAAACCGTCAGGTACTTTTGGAAGCCGGAGAAAAATTTTCGAGAGTCGACGCAAGCGACGTCAAGAAAACGATTGGATCGATCGACAAGCAAGAAGAGAATTCGCATTTCGTGTGTATTAACCGAAATTATTGTTCAGGCATATAAGAGATGATAAAAAAATAATAATTCCACTCGGTCCAGCTGGACGACGAAAAATTACTAAGTGTACAAATTTAAATTATAATAGAAAGAAAAGAAGAGAATTCGAAATTATCTAGATTTACGACGCGTGAATATCTAAAAAATAAAAATACAAAAA